ATCCAGGCTTGAGGTCATACAAATTCGCACTGCGGTTCAAATCCTTCGTTTATGCCACGGATCGCGTGGGTGATTCATGCACCTGCTTCTATTAATTACATATGCTGGTATCGAAACCTAAACATTTCTACCTGTTTCAGCTGCACTGCACGTCTTTGCAGAGCACAGAAAGTGGCTATTCTGAAAAATACGTCTCAATCAGGTTGATTTTCATCTCCTCTTCATTGCATGTAGCAGCAAAGCGATCAAGCGCACGTTGAAGCGCATTATTTGATAAGACATCACGCAAAAAACAGCAGATGACTTAGTCAGACCTTTCTAACTGTAAGGTTGTCTACTTCCAATTAATAAAAATTATGAACAGTAGAGGACATAACACATGCTAGACGAAGATTAAAGTGCATCCTGAAAGACACTTCTATCAACCATTAATCCAGAAGCTGAACACCCACTTCATATTCCTGTAGCATTTTCCAATATTGTCAAAATAATCTTCCAGGTCTATATATAAAGCAGTCATGAATCCATTTAGCATACTTCGCAGCATTTTTGGAAAATGTGATCCACGGCGTGGAAGCCGCAATGCCTATCCTAAATTTTCCGTCTTGTAACCGCCCGGCTTTGCCTCTCTAAGTAATTAACATAAACTTAACTCCATATGCTAAATGCGGATGTGTATGTATTGCTGCGTTTTCTTTGATCCCGTTTCTTGAAAACGTGAGTAACAGCCCGATTCCCACCGTTTTTGTGTTGTTTTACAACTTCATGCCATGCAGCGTATTCGAATCAGCCGCTAAATGCCATCAAAATTTAAGGCTTTTAGCAACTGAGATCCGATTTCGCCTGATTTACTTTAATGACTTCTCTACTTTTCAACGATTTAATAATCTTTTGCCTCAGCAGCTGTGAGACACTGACTGCTGTTGACAACAATCAACATCCAATTCGAAACCATCGCAGGAACTGAACTGAAAGATCGCTGCCTTCCCGCCATTTCTAGAGGACATGTTCTTAATGGTGAGGCTTCGCCAAACCCTTCGCCACTGGAGGAGGAGAACCAGAGGATTTACTTCACGCAACTGGTGAAAAGATAATCTGTTTGTTGCCAATCGATTTTCTGAGTTTAGTTTTTCTCCCCAAACTTTTGGCTTTGCAGCTTTGCGTGCTTCGGTGTACCAAATATGCAAAGTAAGCGAGACCCTGTTTGCAAACGAAGCGAAGAATGCCTTCTACATCCTGATGGCGACATGATCTTCCGGTTTCCATTAACCAGTGGTTTTCTTGTCACTAACTGCGACACCATGCCGCTTTAGCTCGCTGGAAGTAAAATATTCAAATGCAGTTACTGCTGCCTCGAACAGCTCTCCTCATTGAAATTGATCGTTGACCAATCTAAGCGGGTAATAACTGAACTGTATCAGATTACCGCTAAGCCTATTACTATATCGAAGTTTCTGCGTATTTAAATTTAAACAAAATGAAGCTTCGTAAATCAATGGATGAGAAATTGTTGTTCAGTGAAACATTTTTAAACTGAAACAATTGCTAAACAATGTCCTCGAGCTTGATATGGATCTTAATGTGGAACATGCAACGGATCTGGAAATCAGAATTCAATAAAATCGGAGCATATTCCCATTAATTAGTGACATCGTCTATAAAGGGCCATAAACAACAAAGGAAGCGCGCGATTCACTGACATCAGCACAATGTCAGACTTTCACAATCACAATTTCCGTTCAGACAGAGGAACTAAATCAAATATTACACGAAATACGTGCATCACTTAACTGCGCTACAGACTCAGAAGACGGCGTTTGACACTGACAACACAGACGATAATTATAGAAAAGCACTAAGACTACGGCACGTCTTAAGCACATTTTACGGTTCATTAAATGATTTAAGGACATTTGAAAAAATACTCAGTCAATAGGACTTCAAGGCAGAGGTGTAAAAAAACCCAGACTTCGAAGTTTCGATTAGGCTGCTTCAGCGTGCGGTATCTCTACGTAGGATTGCATCATTTATAACACATTCAGCTGTTCGTCGGAAAACTATTATATGAATTAACTTTCTAACATTTAGTTATAACTTGATCAGTATCAAGAACTCTTGAAACCACCGCAAAATGACGTCAACTGAAAGAAGGTTTACTGTGTAAGGTGAGTCACAAAGGAACTCCATTTTTCAGCATATGCAAAAATGGACGATTATCACAGTTAATAGTTACACGCAGCAAATAAGCAGTAAAACTATTTTACAGAGAATATAACGACGGTGCCTTCTTCGAGGTCGAGTGTCGCGCAAGATTCCCGTTACTGATACTTTCCTGAAAGTCTGTGAGGAGTTTCACAGCGATCTGACTGCGTATTAGGTGAGCTTCGCGAGAAAAATAAAATGGAACAAAGTAAGTATAAAAAATTTTAAGAAAAGTACTTTGGGGCTGAGCTACCTGATCAGAGAGTCCAAAATGCAAAAGTACCCCAGAGCGATTACCGGTAAAGACAGAGGAAACAGAGATCCGACTACTCTACTTACAGACTAATCAACTAACTGAACTTGGTGCCATGGAAAAGCAGTGCGACTTGAGTTGTTGCACATTTTTTCGCTTCTTTTACCATACGGCAGGTTTTATCAAACATTCGCCAGGGAGCACAAAATATCAACAGGTATTCTCCGTAATACAGGTATCTATGTAATCGCCCAATGTTGGTTCCTGAAGTTAATGTCGGATTAAGGTCTTATTCATTATGTGTTCTGCTTAACTGCTTAATTACAACTTACTGTCATACTCCCCATTGTGTTCAATTAACTTGCATGAATATGAATTTCTAAAAATATGATCGCACATTTCACCAAGCGACACATGGCCATTCGTTGCAGACTCGGAACTTCTGTGGTCAGAGCTCTTGGTTACCAATGGTAAAACATTCCGTGAAAAGCTCTTACCGCAAGGAAAAAAATGATTACGACTATATACCACACAACAATCAGCTAGTGATTATTTATCAATGGCGCGTATATTTACATGTAATTTATACCCGACGGACATTATTACAAACGTGTTTGGACATGTATACGGAAGATACAGCCAAGTCAAGCTAGAGGATAACAGGTTCGAAATATACGATCAGATGCGAAGTAAATCATAGAGTATGAAGAGAGATGTACATAGGAAATGACAAACTACACAGACATGCCAAACGTTACTCGGGGTCGTGCAGTTCTTCATATAAACAAAGATCTGATGATATGGTCACCTTCTCTCGTTCAAAATTTGAGACTACTTTCTTAACCCTAGCGATATATCAAGAATAAAGTACAATGGTTACGCCTAAACGCCATAATCAGTATCGCATTCATATAATATGCTAGCAATTTTACTACGTCCCGACCGCTAACCTTAGTCATGACTCTAATTCCTACGAGAATACACATCTCGACTTATGAAGCGGCTTTTATGAACAGTCGAACGTTTCGAAAACTCGACTTTGCAATGTAGACAAGTCGAAATTGCCTGCTCAACAGATATATAAAAACATGAATTCGGAGCTATCAAACCAAGGCACTCTTAACTGATGGTCTTTTCTTTAATGTGGACGCTTAACATCTTTCACAACAGATTTTGGCTATTGTACTTCTAGGTGCGAACAAGTCAACTTAGAACTGGAAGTGAAATAACATACGTTACAGCTACAAAGGGAAAAGGGTGGCATTTATGTTTACAATTTATTTAATTGTAGTGGTATGCACTTGTTAATATATGCTTGCATCACTGTCCAGCAAGTCAGAAATCTTGCCTGTAAAAGCTGAACTGTCCGCGTAAAACAGCTCACATGAAACATACGTTAGAATGATTATGATTATATACTATGTAATAATCAAATTCATTAATAAATTTTGATCGCTTCAATAATTGTGATTACGTATAACGCATTGATGGATGTAAAAGTATGAACACTATTCAAATTTGCATGTGCACGATTCAGTTAAAGCGAGCTAGCAGAATTAAACAGGATTAAACTTTGAGATCAAATAAGCAAAAAGTGATTTGCATAGGAAATCACAAATTACAAATGAGAAGTAACGCGCCTGCGCTTAGTGCTCACCCCCTTGGCTCGTTCGTACATGACGTGACAAGAGTTCATCGCCAGCAGACGCAGATCGACGTGGCAGCATACACTGAACATACAGACGACGTTGCGAATTTGTAGGTCGATCGGGTCTTGCGCTGCCACTTCCTGGCCTCTGGTCACGGCGGCTGCAGCTGAGGCGGCGGTCGGCGGGGTATCGAAAACGGAGGCGAACGAGGAGGTGCTGGGTGTGGCGGCTGAGGCCGTGGTGATCTGCGGCAAAGCTGTAACTTGCACTACTTGCAGAGTCTTGGATGATGGCAGCACGGCGACGTTCATCACCGAGGTACTGATCACACCGTTGTTCGTGATACCGACCGTGCCACCGCTTGGCACCAGGCGCGATATAAGGCCACTGATGCGCTGCGGTTGGTAAAACGACGGTTGCGACATAGCGCTATAACGTCCAAAAAACGTCATCAACTCAATGAGCAACGATGCGAAAACTTTGCACACTCCAAAACCAACCACAGTAGTCGTTTATACTAAATGAAACAGCATGCGAAGGCTGAACGTTGCCCCCTTCCATTCCGTTCAGTTATAAGAAGTGAACATAGAACTAAGCATTTCCGACCTCCATGGAAACAAGTAACAGGTAATGAAATAGGAAACACGTGAAACTGAAAATATCTGACACCGCAAAGCTGTCACAATACGGTAAAAGCTCCTTCGTTGTCATAACTACTAAGAGTCTCGATAATTTCAAACTATCGCACCACGTTACGAAGTTTATAATAAAGAAAGGTCACGATGCTCGCCTTCGCGGCTGCTAAAAACGCTGTCTGCGAACTATCCTCAGAGGGGATCTTACAACCGGATTACACAATATCATTAAGTGCCAATTACCAGCGATCTGAAAACTCTAAACCGAGAACCATTATCACAACTTAACAGTCGCTGAACGGAGAAGCGGAACATTACTTCTGAAATTCACACATTAAATAAATCTGTTAAAAAGAAAAACTTCACATACAATGACTAGAAGCAGAAAAAACTGAGCGAGAAAAGTTTTATTGCGAGCCGTTTAGGATAAAAACCACATTGTCCATCATCTGGACACAACTGCGCAAAAAAAGTCCTTGAATAGAAAACAATTCATTGTAAAGACTATACTACTGTAAACAATCCAGAGACCAGATTAACATTAAAGCAAAGACGGTACACTATGCAAACTACAGAACGAACAAAAAAGTATTATCAGTTGAGTGAGATGGTAGTAGCAGACAATACGAGCAAACAGCTATTACCTGCTCTTTATTGACTAGCAAAGATACGGGATGATTTCTCTGATTAATAATGTAATTCTAATTTCACCTTTATCGATAATGAAGACATTGGCTGCGTTAAACCAATGACTATAATGAAAGGGGTCGCCCACTATACTTGAAAGTTTAGCATAATTGTCTGCAATGGTTTTTAATTTCATCTCAAGACCCTTGAATGTACAAAATCAAGAGAGTAATTTATTTCATATACAAGAATATAATATTCTTTCGATAGGTCCAGGTCCATCCTCTATTCTACTTTGGCATCCTTACTGGCATCCTCTATTCTACTTTGTTGGATGATCTGTTAGGGGAAAATAAAACAAATATTCTTTTATCACAGCAGCATGAAAGCGTGCATGTCGGCAGTAACAAAATATTGGAAGACGAACGAATGAATAAAATTACAAACAGTATAAGATGAGGTCGCTGCATGAGTGAAGAGACTGAAATGACAATGTGTAGGACAAATAGCAAAAAGAATCACTATCGAGAAATAAGACTTGATTCAGAAAAAAAGTTAACGTCATAGGAAATGCTCAAAATCGATGGCAGCATAAGGTTAAAGAAAAACTTCGCTGGATCAAGATCGATAAGACTTGCAGAAACAGAAGTTCATTCAGTTTATGAAAAAATCATGGAGGTGTTAATTCAACAGTGGATTTAAAAAGGATGACGATGATTCTTCTATCAAAGCCACTCTTCCTAAAGCTACTAAGCCAGAGTTTCATTTCATTCTTTAATAATTTATCATCACTGCTCGCTACTCTCTAAACTTCAGGCACTTCATAATCTTCCGCACTGCAAAATGCGACGC